TTTGCAAATATTTTTTGTAATACGGAAACTTGATACTTGCATCTGTAAGTCCGCCATATTTGCAGATCTGCAAAGTTGCCGCTATATTTGCAGATCTGCAAAGTTGCAGATGTTCTGTAATCTCACCCTTAATGATAACATTTAACAAGTTATCTAAGATTAAGAAGTAATCCATAGATGCTTTGTAATCAAATCTATTTTATATAGTTTTCTTTGGCATCAATTTAAAAATTTTTAATCGGTAGATATGTTTCAACAGAAAAAGTATTGCAAAAACCACATACGAGCTCCTCCTTAAAAAATTAAGCACTTTTTATGTACAAATATTTTACATATTTTATTTTTATACATATCCCATCAACAATATATAAAAATTTTATAGTGCAACTTCATTAGAGACTGATACATTTATAAATTTTATAAAGAAAATAGTTGTTTATCTTGATATGAACAAATATTGCTCCTTTTTCACGAATTTGTATCAAACCAACCTTTGTAATTTTGTTAATACATAGCTTATTTTTGATTATTTATCAAGTTAAATGAATTAAGTTCTGAATTTAAACAATTCGTCTTCAACATTAATAAAATTACAAAGATTTCTAACCTGACATTATAAAAATATAAGTACACGGGAGGGAGCTTTAGTTGAATTGACTGGGTTGGAACTAATTTCATTTTCACTAGAAGAAATTACTGGAATGTCACAATATATTTATATTCAGGGTGTTTCCGAACTTGGCGTCCAAATTTGTAGGGGTGGTAGTTCCGCATAATTTGAGACCGATTCGCAGATTTCATTTTTCCAAAATATTTAAAATAAAAATAATTAAAAATTATAAACAGGTACGGTCCTGCACAGCGATGGGACGCCTCCTCTCGCGCGCGCTACGCATAGAATCGACAAAATTGCAAATCGAATCTGTTTTTGAGGACTATTGCGCTACGCGCTCAGGGTAGGACCTGCTCTTTGATTTTTTTTATAATGGCTTTAGAAAAATGAAATCTGCCAATCGCTCTCAAATTATGCGAACTACCACCCCAACAAATTTGGACGCCAAGTTCGGAAACACCCTGTATACTTTGGATGTGTATGAAAATCAATATAAAACACAACGTGAACCGGCAAATATCTGGTATGTATTAATTTCACACAATTATGATACATCTATAGCATGTCGAATGACGAGATTAAATAATTTTTTTTATCATATTTCTGCTGAAACTTTATACTCTGGCGCTATTGCAACAGCGGTCTCTAGTTATTTTATGAGTTCCGAAACAAAATTTATTGATTGATAAAAATTGGAAGATAAGGTTGTAAGCATCTAGTTTGTGAGATATTTGGTATTTAGGATAGATACAAGATGTGATTGGAAAAACACAACAGATTTATTGTTCTGTAGAAGGCGTCAAGGTCCCAAGATGACCTCAAAAACAAACACAAATATTGAAAATATCGGTGTGCCGATCATTAACAACCGTCGGTTAAGTATTTGGGCTGTTCTAGAAACAGTATAAATCGTAAAAGGTGTTAGGCATATTTTAACAAAACAAAGTCATTAGAGCGCTGTAGCTCAAGACTGCTGTAGTAGAACATCCACCCTAATCACCGGATCTTGCCTCGTGAAGCTTTTTTATTTCCCACGATTAAATCAGCACTGAAATAGGCCATATTTGAGACAGTAGAGCTGTCAGAGCACTGCTATGGGCAATGGAAAATTCTCAAGGAATTGTGTTGGGAAATATATTGAAGGCAATGTTAAAATTGTGAAAGAAAAGCAATAAACGATTTTACAGGACTAATCCAGTTTTTCTAGCCACACCTCGAATTTAAAGTTTTTGTTTTGATGAAAGTGATAATTGCACAATATGTATATACTAAGTTGTAATCTAGCAGATCAAGCGAATATATTTCTGAATATACATTCTGTCTGTCAGATCTACTAGTGATAAGGCTTACCAGTGAGTTCCTCATACAGCTTTTGATACAAAAACATGTGTGATGATATGTTATGATAATCCATAACCAAAGGTCGTCAATCTGAATATCATGCTTGACACGGTTAATAGAAAATTAATATTATGCTCATGAACTAATTACTAATAAATTAAAAATTATTGAGAATTGAGTATTTTCGAGATAATTATTAATAAATAACGTATTTTACAATAAAAAATTGATGTGTAAAATTATTTTTTATGCTGTGGTGATGATAAATGGGAACCGTTAGCTATAATTGGATATATTAAAAAATAATAACTTTATTTAAATCACTATTTATTATTGCATTAAAAATTGTTTCTATTAAACAATTTAAACACAATAAACCTAAAATTGATAACTTTGTTTTCTGAAACCACCCAAACGGTTTTATAAAAGAAAAAGTTATTCATTTAAACTTACTTAAACAGCTTAGAGTATTGAACAGTTTAGAGTTGGGTGGTATAGGTCTTGAAATGCAAGTATGATATATTCAAATAAAAATCCAAAAGTCTATTCACCTATCTATCTATTCCGAGAATAAACAGTTTTTTTTTTAATATTAAGCTCTAAAACATGCCTTTCAGTTTTTTTTTTTAATCCGAGGTGGTTATGGAAATTTGACACATTAATGTTTCTTCCTTTACGTTTTTGACTTTTTGGCCCCCACTCCTTAAGTATTTAGGTAAATTGGCTTATATTTTGGGAATATTCATTAAAGAATGTCTGTAATTTTCTATCTTCATAATGAAAAAATTAATTATTACACTTTTCCATTGATCATTCTAATTCTTGATTTTATAGGCTAGACATGTTAGACAACAAATATTTTTTCGAGGTGAAAAGTAATTTTTATCATTTGAAGCAGCGTTGCCAAGTTATATTTACATGAAATAATCTCGGAATTAAAGAAAATTATAAACATAAATGTCCTTAGATTAGCTGCAAAAATCGTCTCACTGAGAAGTAAATATTTTCCCTCTGTTCCGAAATGAACAGATACTGCTCCCTACTGCAAATCAAATGCGTTTTACATGGCCAAATCAAATGCAATGGTCTTTACCAGGGTTGCCAATGTCAGTAATTAGTAGCATTTGCCAATAAATGCGCTAGTAATAGTAGTAGAGTTGATATGATGGCCATATCGCACAAAGACGTGAGTGCGATACGGACAATCCACTAGAGTTGTACAGTATATATTTTTTCTACGACCAACTAATGAAAATCTACAAATTTTAAAAATAAATTTAGGTCATTAAGATAAAATAACTAAAAAAGATTTATGACTTTTACTAATTTATAAAATAAAACAAACTTGAAAAAAAAAAGATTTGATTTAAAATCTTTAATCAGATTTGAAACCCAGACCTTCCGCATGAGGAGTCAGTACGCTATGTTGTCTTTTATCAGTATTTCATAAAAAATTGTTAGTAAAACTATTGGCTATATATAATATAGTGGTAAAGCTATTAAGGTTGACAACCCTGCTGTTTACTGTATACTTATGGGATTCACCCAGGTTTTTGCATTTGGGATTCACAGAGAAATTATGTGAATGTTAGTTTTTAAAGATCCCGATTATAGTTATGTATTCCCAACAGTCTTTTTATATATGACCTGTTAACTGCTTACTATCGAAAAATATTGATAATCAGTAGTTTAATTTATAGTTAACTATGGAATACTATCGATAATTCTTGGCCTATGATTTGGTGGTTATGGCTATTTGTTTGGCCTGCGTCCTTTTTTTGTTGGCCTTTGTCTTGATTGGTTAAAATTTTAAATATGACATTCACCGCTGAAAATTTTTAAAATATCAAAGAAAAAAGGAAAGTGACGTGGCAATATTACTTTACTTTTACAGTGTCAGTATTGCTATACAGAGTGAGTGATGTTTAACTTTCATAGCTACCCCTGATATAACAACAAACTGAAAGTTTGTGTGTAATTTAGTTATTTTTCAATACAAAATGTCGTAAGGAGACAACTGTAGTTTCAAGAGCAAAGTAAATTTAATTTTTTTTAATGAAAAATAATATTCCTTAACTTATACTTAGGATATTCAAGAACTTTTGTACTTATACTTACCCAGCTAAGATTCATGAGTACCATAATGAGAACTTTTTTTAGGAGAACCTTCTGATTTTTGATGGAAATGCCAAGCGATTTTCTTCAAGATGTATAAAGTTTGAGCGGAAATCCTATCATCTACATTTAAAAACATCAACAAAACAGTTTTACGTTATATTTTTTTAAACATTAAATTTTCCATGCAAATAACATTTTTTTGGCAAGTTGTAAAAGATCGAGACTAATTAGTCTTTTAAGAAAACAGCATTTTAGTTTGTTATAATAATTGTCATCGAACGTTCCACAACTCATAATAAGGCTGCCAGTGCCGTACATACAATTATATCCAATACAATATATTTTATCTCATTATTTCCTTGGTATATAATTTGAAAAATTCTATGTATTTCAGTAACAAGTCATAAAAAGTACTGATAATAAAAACAAGGTTCAACTTCAACTAACGACTAAATAAAGTAACTAAGCTAAATCTTTTTACTGAATATTTACAACTAAAATTAATGTTGTCCGCATGATTCGTTCATAATATTTTAATATATTTTCGACAATTTTCAACTGCACACAACCACACACACATTCTAACCTTTTAAAATATCATTAAAACTTAATTAAAATTTCTTTTTCAAGTACGTTTATATATACTATATATACAAAATTGGAAATAAACTTTAATATCAGGAAGATTTTCTTGTTTAACATATTTAAAAATTCAGTACCTTTTGTTCTATCTAAACTAAATTAAATGCTCTTTTAATCACTAGCATATAATATACATATATGGCCTAATCTCACTTCTTGAAGTGCAGTTGAATGTACTTATAAACAAATTTTTACAGAAGGCAAGTAAACAGAAGTAACGTGCACAAAAGACATCTAAATAAATATAAGGGGTTGGTTGTTCGGTAATCCTTATTTAACCGGTGATTCATGGTAGTGGTACGTCCACTTTTACATAATTTACTGGGAAGTAGCCCGTTCGGCCGTTTACGCTGCCTTCAAACCAATTCTCATCGATTTTGTTCATGAGCATTATTACTTCGTTCTCCTATAAAAAACAAACATTATTTTATAGGTACTTGCAATACAATAAATATTTTTCAGTTCAGCCTATTTCTAAAAACAAAAACGTACACCCAGACTTAATAATATTAATAATAAGGGGACAGTAAACAGTGTAAATCATACTACTCCATCGGGTCACCTGCCACCCCCACTCCAAGATTTTAATTGACTCCCTGTATTTTTTTGGTGAAACAACTAGTTACTTACATCTTTAAATTTATGAGATATTTAAAGTTAAAAGTTTCAGATATAAGAAATTATTAACTCCGAAAAAGTTATCCATAGAATTAATTAAAACAAGAATAGCTTAGCAGGTTCAATATTGTGTATCGATATCTGTAGTCAAGCAGGGTCGCCCGCAGTTAGTACTTGGATGTGTGACTATCCAAGGAAAGTCGGGGCACCAAAGCCCAAACAAATTACCCGCGTAGTTGCATAGCAGGCGCTATATCAATGAGCATGAGGTATAGTGGTTGGAGAATCAGAATACTGAATTTAACAATTAGTTATGTATATTTTCGGGATCTTCTTATTTGTTATACCAACGTACAATTAGTGTTGTCCCAAGGTACAATTAGAGCTGTCCTAAGGTACAAGACTCGGCTGTACCTTGGGACAATTTAAAAGTAAACTTTTTTTTTCAGTTATTAATATGACAATACAACAAAGACCTTTTACAAATTTTGTTCTATATAGTCGAAATAACACTGAGCATGATGATCATGATTAGATTCATTCAATTTAAAAAACGTAAAAAAAAAAATAAAATCGAAATGTCCCAAGATACAACACTCTCCCTATATCAAAAACTAGTCATAGGATTGTGTAGGAAGTCGACAACTGCTAAATGGCATCAACAATTCAGGATACTTCAACGAAGCCCATTTCTCCATAAACCGGATGCCTGTTCCTTTAAACCTACCTATATTTTTGGTTGATTCAGACAAATTTTAAATTTTTTGCTTAAATAAAATGCAAAGATCTGGGTGTAACGTTTGGGATAGCCACTTAGTAAAGCATATTACCTTAAAACCGAGTTCTCCTGGATTTTCTGGGTCAAAATCGTAGAGCGCTGTACAACATGGTTGCCTAGTCATTGGTGTCCTGGCAGGAGATTTCATTGGGGACGGCAATGGTGATGCTAAAATTACAAAGAAATTAATGATCTCTCATTTATAAGTAGAAATACTGACGATGCTGCAGTGCCTTACAAATAATATCAAGAATACTACTGCTAACAATTAATAAAATAAACATCGATAAATATTAAAGAAAGTAAAATAAGATTTCAAATCATATAAATGAGTGTATTGTGCCGGGTCAATGTTCTTCTATAATATGCAATAATGCAACTTCTGGATGCCAAATCGATTTATAGAGCGCATAAAATAAATCGGGCCAGAAAACTTTGTCGCGTAGAATACGAACATTATATTAATAGATTACTAACAATTAATTGTATTCACAAAGCACTTTTAAAAAGTTACCCGCATGTTGAATTTTAAATGTATAAACGTCAATTCAGAGAAAAATAGAGTTGTGGTTTTTCAATTACACTTAGAGTTGTTACTGTGATTAGTAAAATTCAAATAACTGTCATTCCAAGCATAAAAGTCGTATATAACAATACGACTAAATATTTAAAACATGGCAATTCTGTTTAATATAGCCAATATAGCTAAAAATGGAGATACGACTTTTATACTAAGAAGGGTAGATAAATGAGGTTATATTTCCTCAAATCATGAATAAATTAAATATTGGTTAATATTTATCTCGAAAACATTTATGAAAACATGTATTTTACCAAGAATAAAATAATTATATAACAAGGAAAAAACTCATCCTATCTACAAAATATTAAAATAATCAACTAGGTTCGATCAAATTTGACCACCATCAGGCATAAAAGTGGTTACAACGGCAAAGAAATAAGTTTCATAGGTAAATAAATATGTTGAGATGACATACTTAATTTTTAGATGAAGAACATTAAACTGGAGTCACTTGCGAATATTCTACTCATCACTTACTTTATAAATTTGATGAACCAAAAAATAGTGACTCCAGTCTAATGGATGTTATTTACCTTAAGATTAAGGATGTCGTCTTAACTTATTCATTTACCTATAAAGTTTTTAATAAATTTGCTTTACCGTTGTTTTTTAAACCATTTTTATGCCTGATGATAGTCAAATTTGAACGAAACTAGTTGCCTTGATTAATTTATTATATTGTGGTTAAGACGTACTACATTTGAGATATGAATAACCTTCTTAAAATTGTGATTGTAATGTTGACAGAAAAAATACAATACTTCTTAACTGATATTTTTATAAATTTTAAGAAATAATTCCTAATTGTAATTTTTTCGAAAATATGTCAAATTTGACAGGTATAGTCGATCGACAAAAAGAAAATCAACGTCATTTTTTATAATTTTCGAAGCAAAGACTCTAAATTTACGTAAACTAAATAATACAAAAATCCCATATGACGTGGACTTTAACCGTGATACTGTATGTCGATTTTTACTTAACTATAGAAGACATTGTGTGAAAAGAGTTTGAAAGCCAGTTTTGGTATGTTCATAAAAAATATCAAATAAAAAAAGAAACGGAAACATTTTTAGGGTGTTTTACAAAATAACAACTAAATGAGGAACATTTCGAAAATCTTCTTGAAATGGGACTATAATATACTGTATAAATTTTAAAATCTACATAATTTAGCTTGTTAATTGAAAACACCCCGTGCATAAAAAATGTTATAACCACAAACAGCATGACAACATAAAATCAACATTAACTAAGCACAACTAGACTAAACTAAAAGAATAGGCGGTGAAGAGAAAGAGTTTACCATTAGCAGATTGTTGTCCTGGATGTAACTCAAGATGGTATGGTTTATGTTGAGGTGAAGACGCTTGCGAAGAGCCTAACAACACATCTTTGTCAGAACAACAGTTCAAGCATTTCAAAAATAACGGCAATCGAGCACTCAGAGACATTGTTTCAACAAGCTACTGACTATTCAGCAGTTTTAGTTAATACTAGTTTTATTCATCACAGTTGGAAATATAAACATGTTTTTTTTTTCAAATTCGAAATAGACACACGCATCATCACGCCTTAGCACGATTCCGTTGCTTGGATATCTGCCAAGTTTGATTATCGTTTTTTTAATTTATCTAAATATACACGACTTCGTGAACATACCTTCGGTTAAATTCGAAAACAGAATAATATTGATATGATTATAGGGCGATGACATTAAATGCGGTTTGAAAAATCTAAATTATAATTGTTTTTCCTTAAATACACTCGTCATAAAACGTATCGTATAAGAGGACTATAAGATTTTATTATTATCCCCTTAAAACTATTTGAAATTGGCAAGTAATAAAATTTAGGAATGTTTGACAGTCGTTTATTTGATTAGAATTAAAAATCAAAGAATAACAGGCAGAAATAATAAAAATAATTGAAGGGGTTAGAAGCAAAAGGGTTCAAGTGCTGTTTTTTTTTAAATGAGTTAAGTGAACTTAAATTGTTTTGCATAGAACAAACTACACGTTTTCAATAACATTCTTTTTCTACCAGCTGTTGTCGTTAAGACATCAAAAATCACTTGTATCGTTTTACCACCAACAAAATAATATGTAGTTTTAAATAACAAAATAAGTACTTAACTCATTAAAAAAAAATGTCACTTGAACCCTTTTGCTTCTAACCCCTTCAATTATTCTACAAAAATTAAAAAATACAAAATAAAATAAAAAATTCCAAAGATAATTTTAGCATTTAAGTATCTGGTATTGGCATCTCTAGCTCTAATTGTTCTCTTAAAGCATTTTTCAGCTCATCAAGGTTGTTTGGAGCGATATAACAAGCACTTGTGCACTTTTTTAGGTAGTCCCAAGCATGTTCAATTGGGTTTAGGTCTGGACTAACTGCTGGCCAATCAACAACTTGAATATCAACCTCTTTGAAAGTATTACATTGTTATATACCGATGAGCTTGTCTGCTATCTTATCTATACAGATATCAGACAAGCACTACTCACCCTGAACAGACCACGACTTTATTCAAGGTTAATACTAGAATGTCACGAAGCTTTGGTGGTCACCTTAAGATGGATTAAAGGTCACGCCACATCGAAAGGTAACCATCTTACTGATTCATTAGCCAAGAAAGCAGCCAACTAAATACTTTTTGGACCTGGCCCTTCTATTGGCCTGACAAAATCGGTAGTGACAGACCTAATCAAAGAACATTCCCTTGTGAAATTCAAGGAAAGATGGGATGAAACAAGAAACTGCAGAGTTGATAGGGAGCTCTTAAGTTATCCTGACAACACGGCAGCAAACAAATACTTGACTATGACTAGACAGAACCTGCGCCTAGTCACAGGCATTCTGACTGGTCATTGCCAAGTAGGAAAGCATCTCCATATCATGGGGCTGTCAGAATCCGCACTCTGCAGAGGGTGCGAACAAGAAGATGAGACCATCGAGCATATCCTTTACGATTGCTCGACGCTCTCATCAATTAGAAGATTTGTGTTCGGCGAGTATCGGCTAACACCGGCCGATATAAGAGAAGCACCTCTTGGCGACGTTGTCAACTACATTAAATCTGTAGACTGGCTCACGAGCTAGGAGGTGCCTATCATCTCAGGAGGATGCACAATGGGCCTAATGAGGCCTAAGTGCCGTGGGGTATCCCACCCTCCACACGTTACAGATACAGATATACCGATGAGCTATCAGGCACCTACGCAATACTGTTAAATTAATATAACTGTTAAGGGTTAATGGAATGTCGCGAAACTTTGGCGGAATTATACATTAACAATGTGGTTACCTTAAGATGGATCAAGGCCACGCCACATCGTCTTACTGATTCACTAGCCAAGAAGGCAGCCAACCAAATACTTTTGGATCTGGCTCTTCCATTGAACTGACAACATCGGTAGTGACAAACCTAATTAAAGAACATTCTTCAGGAAAGATGGGATGAAACAATAAGCTCTAGAGTTGTTAGGAGGCAACACTACAGCAAACAAATACTAGACTATGGCTAGACAGAATCGCCCGAGTTTAGACATTCTGACTGCTCATTGCAAAGTACGGAAGTAGATCCATAGCATGAGGCTGTCAGAATACGCACTCTTCAGGGGGTGTGAACAAGAAGATGACACCATCAAGCATATCCTCTAAGATTGCCCGACGCTCTCGGCTAACACCAACCGATATAAGAGAAGCTATTTTCGGAGATGTCAACTACTTTAAATCTGTAGGCTGGCTGAATAACTTAGAGGGTCTATCAATTTAGAAGGATGCCTAAGTGTCGTGGGGGCAATCCACCCTCTATAAGTTACAGATACAGAACATGTTAACTCTGAGGACCTTCAAAGAAGATGCCTCCCCATAATCATCATCGAGCCACCTCCAAAATGTCCGGCTGCGCTTATGTTACACTGAGCAAATCGCTCACCTGCGCGTCGGTAAACTGAATTACCTCTATCGGATCCAAAAAGAAGAAAATATAGACCTATCAGTAAAATAAGTTCAGTAGTTAATGTACCAATTAACCTCTTACGAATCTTAAACATACCACACGATGTGCCTTGGTCAACAATGGAGCAGTAACAGGCTTTGGATCTGATTCTAAATTCCCTTAATCTATTTAACCGATTTGACATATTTGAACATTACGAACTCTGGTGAGAACATTCTGAAGACGTGAATAACGGGCATCCACAGGATTGATGCATTTGAGATGTCCTTCTATTGTAACCTAAACCTTCATAAAACTAGAATAGCTGGATTGATTGATTCCAGAGCTTGTCAAAGCACTCTAAAAAAGCGATTCAAGCACAAAGCCCTTTGGAAAAGTAATTGCCGGATCAAGCACTTTGGAAATTCTAAGTGCTTGCAATTATCAATTACCGAGAAAAGTAACTGCGCTATTCAATTACCAAGCACCAATTACTCAAAACAACCTTCAACGGCAAAATTTTGTAAATAAATTAATGACAAATTGTTTTTTTGGCCACTGTATTCTTATTGATTGTTGCCATTTTAGTCCAAAGTTCGAAAAACCATGCAAAAATGGGGAATATAGAAAATTTAATTT